AACCTTAACTGTATCAAAAAGGTAACTCCTAAAACATCAAAAACGTAACTTTTTTTAACCCAGCTTTAAGGACCCCCATTTTTGGTAATATGCCTGACTATAATCACGAAATGTTGGTTGATGATGATAGGAATCTTGAAGAAAATTCGAATAGTGCTTTCCTCGAACGATGCTCGGAAGAAGAAACTCTAAATCAAAAATGTGAGAAGTGGTTAGAAAAAGTTAGTCAATTTCGGATAATCAAATGCAAAGAAAAAAGGTTTGCCGAGATAAAACCTACCGAAGGAATGTTTAATAAAGTTTATGTGGAAACGGATGAACTACGTATACAACAGGAGTAAGTGCCGAAGGTGGTAAATCAATTAAACAACTTGATTCAGGAGGCCAATATAGTCAAAACGGAAAAGGTTTAGTTGGAACAAATGTTGAATTAAAGAAAGACAAACAAAAAATATTAGTAGGCGGAAGAGGCAACAACAATAAAAGGATCAAATGCCGTCTGAAATATATTGAAAACAAACCTAGAAAGAAAATACCATTCCAAATCGTTTGGGTAAAAATCACCGTGATAACAATATCAACGCATGACCTTATCAACTTGGTCTTTGATCCTGGAGGATATTGAAAGATGAAATTGAACTGGATTAGTATAATGAAACGTAGAAAAAAAAAAAAAAATTATTAGTACAATTCGAATTAATTCAGGTTACACCTGACAATGCAAATTAAAAATTAAATCACTTAACTGCTGAGATACAATTAAAACTTTCAATTAGGGAAATCAATTTGAACCAAATCACATGGGTGTACGAACATGCTTGGAAAATTGGAAAATTAAATTAAAAAAAAAAAAAAAAAAAGGGGGAGTTGAAATACTTGAACAAAGGTACAATTAATTGATCGGAAAAATCAAACGGACGTAGTGAATTAGGGATGGCTACGACGAGTAGGTGCAGGGAATGGGGCACCTATAGCACCTAAAGAACTGCAAATATAAAACCTATATGGAACTTCGAATTTTACGGAACGAATTGTGATAACCGGGAATCAAGGTCTACAAACACGAAATGGTAACCGACACGAACGATTTAGCGAAAGACATCGAAAATGGATTATAAAGAGTCAGTCTCGACGATTTCGAACGAATAAGAAGCACATACGTAATCGGAAGTTTTTGCGGATATCAGGATTCGAGCGGAGCTCATCCTTCAAGCGGAGGAAAATGTTACGCAAAGAAAGTTTCACACTTAAACTTTCTTTGTGTAACCATTATACTATTAGATACTTTGCTTATACTTTTAAATATACTTTGTGTAACATTTAATAGCTTATGCGAAGTATACAGCATATCTTTAATTAGACTATAGAGTATTTTAAAGCTTATTCCTGTATTCATGTATATATATAGAGTTATGTATTTTAGTTTAGGATCTTTGAGATTTTAGAGATAGTTTTTCTTTAATTGGTCGTTGAGTTGTTTAGTGTCTTGAGTTAACGAATAGTAAGTTTGGAACTTGCTAAGTCGTAGAAGAATAAAGATATTAGTATTGATAGTGTCTGGGACACTTGAAAGATATATTAGTTATTACGTTTTGGTGCCTTTGTGTGTTATTAAAAATATTCGTTTTTATCTTTGTTAATGATTACGACCCTTTGCTAAATTGGCCGAACCGATACAAGACTCTCCCTTGGTCGTAACATCCTAATCAAATTGTATTTTCAAACGCAAAAATCTCGTTTTCATTCATATGTATACCGCAATTAACTAACAAGATGAATAATACTTTGAAATAGACTGTATAAATGATTGGGTAATGTTTTTGTATTCTTAGAATCGTGATCCTTAATATAAGACTTGTAATCATACTATGTTCCTGATTTACTACGTTGCGCAGCTACCCTAATTACTATTAATTACATAGTAATCTGTAAAATCTTTGAAATTATGCCTAATTTGATAACTACGTATTGGTGCACTATTGATGCTCTATTTCCAGGAGGGGCCGTCCAAATATGGATGTTACACAATTGTTCAATATTTTTTTTATACGTTTTACAATACTTTTTTTTAGTAATCTCACGTAGCTTAACTTTCTAAAAACGTGAATAAAATATTACAACATATTTAACATATTTTTTGAATCACCGTAAATCCCACAACTTATTTTGCAGATTGAAGATGAATTACGATATGATTGGTCAATAATCACGTGGTCATTCCGAAATCATTTGTTATATTTGGACGGTCCCTATTAATGCCTATTAATGCCCTCTCAATTGATGCCCTATGGGTCTCGATTGGTAACTATTAATTAAATAGTTTATAATTAGTAAAATTATTTATACCCATTGCAGTATTGGTACCTTAATGATATACTATTGGTACTCTATTGGTATCCTATTGGGTACGATTACTCTGACTACGTATTACTCTTTTGGTGCAAAAAAAAAAATTATCAGAAATAGGAAGGTCCCTATTGAAATTCATTTTACCTATGTAGATATCGATGTGAATTAAATAAATGCCACACTGTATGATTACAAATGGCAAAAGCATTGGGTAGTCTTTTTTCACTTTTTTCAGTAAAAACTCTTATCTTTATTTTAAGAAAAACTAAAATTCTCTAAATAAGGAGCATTTTGACAACTATTATTAAATAAATTAAATAATCATGACAGAACCTTATCTACTATGGTCACTGGCCGATGACTTTTCTATTAATAATTCTAATCCTTCTCCTGTATGGTCTTATGGATATAAGGAAGACGCTAATGGGTCGCTCACCTTATTTACACAATTACTTGCAGACCCACATGACACCAAAGTATATGCATGGTACGAATCTAATGTTGGATGGTTTACTCCTGGACAATGGCTAGGGGTATATTATAACTCTAAAGCAACTAGTGTGAATGTATCGTATAGTCAAATTATAATGTTCCCTCCTCACGGTGTAGGCATGCACCCTGGTAATGACGGCAGATTTTCGGTGGCGAGATATACTGCTCCGATAGATGGGAATTATAGCGTAACAGCAATATTCTCTCATATTGATATCGATTCTAATGCAACCTATGCATCAACAGGCGTTTATATCTTATATAACAACCTCAATAAGCTTTTTGACGATATCATATACGGGATTAAGGGTACAACTTTCTTCAAGTCGGATGGGAGTATCAATCTCAAAGCAAATGATACCATAGACTTTATTGTTGGCGTTGGTCCAGATAAGACATATAACTACGATATGACTAATGTCAACGCTTACATCTATTTATCGCAATATTGTACAATTGAATGTCAAAAATATCCAGTGATCACAGCAATTTTGACTATTTTATTTGTTATTTCTTTTGTTATAAGTTTATTCCTTTTACATCGCATATACGACAAAAAAAATAGACTATCTAGACCTCTACTAGCTTCCTAGCGATATAACCTTAATGAAAATAATTTGGTTATTATAATGCTAAAATCAGTGTCAATTATATTTTGATATATTTAATTGAGTTTATCCAACCACCAACCTGACTGATTTCATTAAATATTAGCCTATCATATAAATAGGAATCTGTTTGTTATGATTACAACTCGGCCCTTACTCCTGTTGTATACGTAGTTCATCCGTTTCCACATAAACTTTATTAAACATTCCTTCGGTAGGTTTTATCTCG